ATTTTTTTACCATAAATTTTACATATTTATTTTTTACAGTGTATGTTAATATGCTTTGCTTTTATTTCAGGTGTGACTTTTTAACATTCTGTAAGGGGTCTACAGATAAAAAATAGCCATTCTTGGCTAATTCTGGCACGTTACAGTAATGTTTAATAATGTGCATTGACCTAGTAAAACTAAACTAAACTAAACTAAACTAAACTAAAGCTTAATGACTGATTTTTGTTAAATAGAAGCTTCAAATGAACATAATTGATTAAATAGAGTCTTTTTGAATAAAAAGTAATTGTCTTTACTATCACTTCTAAACAAATGAAAAAATACTTGCTGAATATATTAATGTTTATCTATATCATCATTGAAACACTGTAAATTCATGCCAATAAGCTACTTAACTTATTAAAACAATTTAATGACATTTAAACTTAGGTTGAAATGCTTGTAAAGTTTAATCTAACTGAAGTGTGGTTTACGAAAAAGACACAATGGACCTGCTTTCTCAAAATAGTAAAGCTATATGAAGCTTATTTGAACAAAATTCTGGTAAGACTTTATTTTGATGGTCCATTTGAGTATTAGTAGACTGTCTGTTTAATATCAGTTGATACTGCTCCTTCAACAGACTTTAACAGACTATAAGAAACTTTGCAAGTACATATCAACCTACACTAACCCTAACCCCAACCTAACAGTGTACTAATAATCTAATGAGAATTAGTTGGCATGTAGATGCAATGTAACTCAAATTCAACAAACGGACCATGAAAATAAAGTGTGATCTAAATTCTTAATAGACAAAATTTTAAAACAGTCAAAACGACTGCCTCTGTAGTTCCAGAGTTAAAAGAAAGTGAAAAATAAAGATCCATGAATATTCATGTCATGTATTCTCTATTAGAACTGAGGCCACTTGTGTCCTCTCTTCAGCTCTCGTTTCCAGACTTGCGCTCTACTGTACATCAACTCCACACTGTGCCCTGTGTGAGCCTGCAGCAGCACAATGGCTACATTTGATGGCCGTAGACCTTGAAAGTGGACGGCAGGGTCACACTAACAAGTGGTACTTTTGTGCACTGGAGACAGTGAGCAGAGGGGGTCAGTTGACAGACTTTACCCTCAGCCACACACAATAGACCCCGGGCCAGACAAGGTTACCCAGCTGTGTCTCAGCAACACAGAAGCCAAGTTCAAAACATCTACTGTCACGCTTTAAATATCCAAGCCATGCTTCTGCACTGACCGCTGGCTAGCGGTTAAGGCCCGGCAGAGACACAAGCATAAGCAGTGTCCACAGAAACTCACAGACAACCACAAGTCAAAGCATCACTCCGACTGTATAACTGTCCCTTTCAAGTGGACTGTTCTTGTATACACAAACTCATATACAATTTCGGGAAAAAATATTCCAAGTATGTTTCACTCCAAACATACGATAGTTGTTATCCTGCAAAAAGACATAGAGCAGATTTGCTGGGCTGTGTGCGCGCTATCATGTTCAGACAAGAGCTTGAAGCAAACAAACAGAGGATATGGGTCAGGCAGTGCAGTGTGTGGCTAATGCCAATATGCTTGTTTACCTCTAGAAAAAAAAATTAAATAAATAAAAGTCTGACATTTACAAAGCTTAGAGGACGAGATATCTCGGTATGCTTGAAGAGCAAGCAATAAAAGGGTGCGCATATGATTTTAACAAATTCAATAAGGTAGTAGTTTAATGCCAACATAGGTTCATTCTGAAAACGTAGCCTGGTATACATTTCTGGATATTGTGAATTAGGCAGCCACAGCTTTATATGGCTGCATTTCGTCTTTAAAACAAACTTTACGGGGCAATATGATGCCATTGCTTTTCTAGCTTACCAGCTAACTGCTTACCACTATATGGACGGCTTTCCCACTGTTTATCTGGTAGCTCGACATGTACATTGGCAGACTTGAGATGCTGACGGAGTTGACCACGATGACAGGGTTTGAGTTCAGTGAAGAACGAAATAACAGTTCAGAAAGCAGGTAAGACAAAAACAAAAGCTAAAAAATAAAATAAACTAGTAAATAACGGTGAGAATATGGTAAATTCTGAAACCATAAAAAAAAAATCAGGCGAGGGCATATCTTTTTCTAGATTGCTTATAAAAACTGTCAGTTTGGTTTAAGGAAATGGGGGGACGGGTTAATCTGTGCTTTTGAAAACACTAGTGTCAGGAGGGTGGGTCAGTCGATTGGCCAGTCAGTCAGTCAGTCAGTCAGTCAGTCAGTCAGTCAGTCAGTCGACAGCGGTGGATTTACTCAAGAAGAGCAGGCATGAATGGCATTCGAGAGAGTAATTTGAGATCTAAAAAAAAAGTATACACAGTGGCCTCTGTAAGATTTTCATAAGCAAAAACTGCAAAAATTGTAGCTCATGAGACATATCTTGCTCTCTTCAGAAATTTATATAGGGGTGCGTAATCAGAATGAGTCTGGGTTGTTTAATGCGTATGTTCACCACAACGTTTTGGATTAGTGCATTTTTATTTATTATTTTTATTATTCTTTGGAACTAGATACAGTCATTTTGAGTGTTTTTTTTAATTATGCTTTAAGGTCTTTAAAATGTGCATTTTTATTCAATGTTTGACATAATCTCAACCAAAACATGGAGAGGTAGGGCATTCAGTAGTTCCTTCCTGTTTTATCACAGCTTTTCAAGAGAGAGTGGCAAAAGTGCATCAAATTAAAAGCAAATGGGAAGTGTCTTTAAGGGGCGGAGCATGTCAGATACTAAAGAGCATTTGATTGGTCAAGATTTAATGAGAAACTGAGGTGATGAGGTGATGTCAAAAAAAATGTTGATCAATTTAGTAAAATTGTCAGAAAATACAACTTGCAGGCTTTGAATGTTGATATTAGTTTTATATCTTATAAACACATTTTGTCACTGTTTTGGAGGACACTAGTTAACAGATGTCCTTAAGACAACCAATACTCTTACTAACATCTAAAAAATGTTATTTTAAATTCATGAAACCTGTATTACCTTGTTAAAACAAACCCCTAATAACAATTGTAACATGACCTTTCCTAAATGTGTGTATGTTTTTTTTCTAACATTCTTATTTAATTAAAATTACAAAACACAAAAGAGTTCTTAGTATTTCTACCTTAAATGACTATTCAAAGACATTCAAAGGTTAATTTTAAAATCTCAATAGAAGCTTTAAATGTAAATATGACAGGAAAAAAAATGTATTCACTACAATCTAATAAGAACAATCAGATTGACCACTAAGGCTATTCTAGTAGTTACAAAATGTGTTGTAATTCCAGCGTTAAAGGGGTAATATTAGACTTTTTAACACTTCCAACATTCTTTTGTGCATAATAACTGCAAAGTCACAAAGCAGACACCAAAGGGAGTTATTCTCTATATCAGTAAGAACTGATTCTGAACTCCCTCAAACGCCTCAATTTGTTTTCCAGACTTTTCTTCCAGAAACAAACACGGCTCATGATTCATAATCTAAATAACTCCTAACTTGAGTTCCTAACTTCCTAACTTGAGTAAAAGCAAGTGAGGCCTTCTTGTGCGAGTACTGTTTTGTCTAACAGACCTATTTACTCATGAGATGTTCTTTCAACAAAGACATTCCTTCAAAAAACATTTCAACAAAGTTGTGTGCAAAGTGTATTTGTATGACAGCTAAATAAAAGTTTTTATATATAAAATATAAATCTCCTAAATAATAATAATAACTCATAACATTTCTGTTTTACTGTACATTAATCAAATAAATGTAGCCTTGTGAGCATAACACATTGTTCATCAATAACATTTTTAAAATTCTTACCAACACCCTTTTGAAAATATGATAACACTAACAGAGATATAAACATTGTTGCAAAACAGTTACTCTGCAGTATTTACTGTGCAAACAAATTATGAAATATAATATATTCATAATAATATAATCTACCAACTAACCAAACATTTAGTCTAGGGATTATATGTAATTTTATATAATAACTGACAATAAATACAAAGTATATATTATGCATTTATTTTATTATTATGCATATATTTTGTATAATCTTTTTATTTGATTAAATGACTTGATTGATACAAACTCAATAGCCCAGAAATAAATATGAATACGGGACACTGGAGCACAAAGCCAGTCTTACGTTGCAAAACAATTGTGTGGGTCAAATAAATGATTATTATTTTCTTTTTTTATTGTGCCAAAAATCATTATGATATTAAATAAAGTTCCATGAAGTGACCTAGACTAAATATATCGAAACTATTTTTTTATTAGTAATGTGCATTGCTGAAAACATCATTTGGATGCAATTTCTGAATATTTTATTTAAATGGAACTTAAATAAAATCAGCTTCCAGATTTTATAATAGATGTATATCTCCCTAAAATTGACCCATCCTGACTAAGAATACATCAGAGGAAAGCTTATTATTTATACAAATTTATGCTTAAAATCCACACTTTAATTGGTTATGTGGTCAAGATTCATAGATATTTGAATTCTGAGCTATTGAGTTTGTACCAGTCAAGTTGAGTCCAGTTCACTTAATGACTGCGAACACAAGCCTAGGTTATTGACCTTATTCTGCAATGCAGAAGTGCACTCGTTTTTTTGGGATGTTTCTGTTTTAGATCTTCCAATTCAGCTGCCTATGGGAGAAATGACTATGAGGATAAATAATTGGCAGAAAGGGTCAAACAATTTGCTCTACAAACAAGTGTGTTCATGACTATACATAAAAATAGAATAATATAATAAGAAAATATCAGTGTGCAACATCAAACAGCATGCTTTTAAGGTCTAAATATCAAAGTGCCAAAGCCAAAAAAATTCCAATGGTTGTGCCTGCTCTTATACATGAAGAATAAGGTCAATCCTGAAAAAATGTTCTGCTTTTTTATATCATGCATTTATAGGCTAGTAGAAATCGTGATGAAAAGGGAACATACTGTAGTATGTGGGGATGCCGTCCTTACCAGCACTGGTGCCAGCGCCAGTGGAGAGATCAGTGCCCATTAGACCACCTAGAATAGGAAGAAAGAGACGGAGAGAAATATTTCAGTCCTTTCATCATAGCTGACATCCACATCCCATTACAAAATCTTCTTAAAACTGTCAGGTCATTTATTCAACTCCCTGAAGCCACAGAGATCTACCTCCCTCCCAGCGCGTTTAAGGAGACCGAAAGACAAATATAAGGTGACAGAGACGTGTGTGTTTGTCTGAGAAGAACAAAACACTGTCCTTTTCCACCTCAGCACACTTTTCGGAGAGGGGAAGCGATGTGGCCGGCGGGGCTTGAGTGTGGTGTCCAAGAAAAATGACACGTTTTTATTTTTAAGCATGCAGGGGAGCAAGTGTGGTCAGAGGCGTGCAGACCGGGCCAAAACTCATATTTAGCTAAGCGCTCCTGGAATACAGAGCTGATTGCATCAGGAGAAAGCAGTTTTAATGACAGAGCTGTGGGTGACAGACTCTGCCTGTAATGAAGCAAGACAACGCTACAGTAACAAAGAGCCAGCGGGACCATGCTGTGCGAACACCGCTCATTACATGGACGGAAAAATAGGGGAATGCTGACCATTCACTTAAACGTTTGCTACATTTGATTGATCAGTTTTAATTTGAAGTCAGCACATGCAACATATATATGTAACTTTAATTCTATAATATAAAACAATACAGTAATTACACTCTCAGAAATAAAGGTACAAAACCTGTCACTGGGGTGGCACCCTTTCAAAGGTACACTTTTGTAGCTAACAGGTCCACATTTGTAAACTGAAAGGAACATAATAATAGCTAAAGTAGAAATGTGTACATCCACCCACTTCGAATGTACCACTAGGTTAAATAGGTGTTATCAGTGGTTATCAGCTGACCGATATGGGCCAGTAGTGGCCTTCTGCACCTACCAGTAGGCTGTTATCATCCATCCATGTGGTTAATCAGCTATACTAATAGAGAAAACTCCAGATTCAGATTGGTTTTTGCAATAATGTGATGGTTGGGTTTAGGGTAGGGCTAGGGGTAGGGGTAGATGTTGATAAAATACAATTAATGAGAAATTTAAAAAATTGTTTAAATAATTCTCGTTACTTTCGGCCACAGCCATATATGATCTTTAGCTGATTAATCATGGGAATAGATGATAACAGCCTACTGAGCCTATTATTAGGCACAGAAGGCCCCAACTGGCTCATATCTATCTGCTGATAACCACGTATAATGGCCATTCAGTCGAGCGATAACATTCAAATCGTCTGGTACATCATAGTACCTTAAAGGGACAGGTAAAGTAATTGTACTTTTAAGGTAAAAAAGTGTATCTTTTTAAAAACTTTGTGCCTTTTTTGTGATATTGTGGCAATAGGGAAAGGGATCAAGCTTATTGTAATTTTACAGTAAGTGTTTTGTTACAATAGTGTTATAATATATTTAAAAATATGAGCATACAATCTGGCAACCACAGCTGCCTTTTTAAATTCCACAAATCAGACTTTTACAAAAGAAAGTTTATATCATATTTCTGGACTAATTTGACATAAAAAGGCATGACTTGTAAAATTTGGAATTGTTTTCAGCTTACAATGTAGATTTTTTTTTTTATTTTCTTATAATAATCATGACTGTATTTGAAACAATTGTCAAAGGCCTGAATTATAGATTTTAATCTTGACCAGTTTCTCACTATTTATTCAGATATTTTGTTTCAAAAACTCAACTCAAAACTTTCTGTTTCAGACACTTAGCTATTTATAGATTTACATTGCATGAAATAGAATTACAATGGACAGAAAATCAGAATTATAAAATAAGTCACAAATACCTTAGTGTTTATTTTAGCTATTGTGAAAAAAGTAAACAAAACAAATCTGCAAAGTTTAGAGTGTTCTTTTATTAATAATTAAATTAATCAGTATTTTCCTTGTATTTTCCTTCCTTTCCTAGCCTTGGTTATCTACGAATAATAGAACAGTTGTTTCAGAGGCAATGAAAGTTACTTACACTATCGTTCAAAATGTTTCTGTTCATTAAGGCGGCACTTTTTAAATGTTTAAATGTTTATTCAACTTTTAAATAACTGCTTTCTTTTTGCATATCGTTAGAAATGAAATTATTACTCCACTCATTATTGCTTTAATACTATTATTATTATTAATAATAATAATAATAATAATAATAATAATAATAATAATAATAATTAATGTTGGAGTTATCCTGAAGTAATGAATCTGATTCACCAATTCACCAATAAAATACCTTGAAAAATGTAATAAATTCAATTATGAACTACTTTTAAACAGTTTTGTTATAGAGCGACAGCATTTCACTATTTTACAATCTGTACTTAATTTTTGATGAAGTAAATGCAGCCTTGGTAAGCAGAAAATGCTTATTTTAAAACTCCTTAACTCCTTTAAAAATCCTACTTTTTCAGTCCAAAAATTTTGACCGGTGGTGTATATTATATTACACCATTTCGTTTTTCAGTCAAATAAAGCATTGCATCACTTGTTTAGTGTGTTTTTACCTGCACTAGGTGGTCTGTGTGTGACCCCGGGTGACATGCTGTTTCTTTGCAGGCCGTGGTGGGCCAGTGGAAGCAGGTTATGATTGCCTGGGTAGATCTGGTTATTCACGGGGATGGTCATGTCGTAGGTAGAAGAGGGCACAGCCTGCATGAAAACACAAGCAATATCATAAAGATAAGTATTAATAGTACAATCTACAAAATGAATGAAGAAAACAATGAGCTAAAAGCCTAACACAAAGGAGAAACAAGAGAAAACAAGAAGTATTCCAGTCCATTTTCTCAGTTATGTACCCTAAATGAACAAGCCGAGATGACTCTAAACTCTCTAAATCTCTCTAAATCCCCTTGTTCACGTCACTCCAAAAGACACAGGCTTAACCTTGAGGAGAGGCGTGCTCCTTCATATGACGTTTTTAAGGACAAAATAGCCCCTAATTGTAGCCATGTGTCCTGAGGGGCTGTAAGTGTTCATGTGGGGGAGCGTGGACTGACAGGAACTGAAGAGGAGCCTCTCACTCGTTCTCACTCTTTCATTCTTCATTAACTCACGAGGCCACAGCAATCATGGCTCCAGGCAGACAAATATTTTCTCTCTGCAGTGCAAGTCTTAGTGGGCACAGCTTCGCTTTCGTTAGGTGTTCTTTTTTCCGTTTTTACCATCATGTTCTGTTTGGTCTTTAAGACCCTGAGGCTTTTTTTATTATAGTTTAGCAAATGTTGATGCTTCATGACTTTTTTCTAATCTTATGAGAACTGATTTTAAAGGCACAATATGTAACATTTTTCATGAAAATATACACAAACTACTAGAATAGTAACTTATCCCAAATATTTAGAAAATTGTTCAAATCTGGAGAAAATTGCATGGTCAGTCTTCTGAGTTAGAGCCATTTATTTATAATAAAATAACATTAATAACATTAATAAAATAACAAAATAACATTTATAATAAATAACATTTAAATATATGTTAAAGAAATGGCTAAAAGTGAATCAAGTTAACATTAATAACATTAATAAAATAACAAAATAACATTTATAATAAATAACATTTAAATATATGTTAAAGAAATGGCTAAAAGTGAATCAAGTTAACATTAATAACATTAATAAAATAACAAAATAACATTTATAATAAATAACATTTAAATATATGTTAAAGAAATGGCTAAAAGTGAATCAAGTTTATAAGTTTTTATAAATGTTTATTTATTAATCTAATGATATTATCTTTGTAATAACAAGTTTTTGATTTAAGATTGCCTTTTTAAAATCTGACAGGGGGCAACAGATGAGAATTAGGACTTGTGGTTTAACTCTGCCTTTTTTACAGTTTTGACTGTGAAATTATGAACATTGTCGCTGTAAAAGGAATAAAGAAAATAAAGAAATAAAAGAAGAACTAAGCAGTTTTAACCAGCGAAACGGACCCGGAAATTGCAATCGCTGACTTTAAAAATGTGAACCACAAGGTTTTAAAGAATTACTATTTTGTTGCTGGTAAGGAACAGGTTTTTTTTTTTTTTTTTTGTGTGACATAGTACAGTACTAGTTTGGTTCCCTACCTTAGTTTTAAAGTGAATTTATTAGTGAACCTATTTTTCAATATTTTATTGTTTGATATTCTTAAAATGCTTCAGCATAATAGTGAAATAATAATAATAATAATAATAATAATAATAATAATAATAAGAAGAAGAAGAAGAAGAAGAAGAAGAAGAAGAAGAAGAAAATGGATGGATGGATGGATGGATGGATGGATGGACAGACGGACGGACGAAGGGACAGACGGACGAATGGAGGGACAGACAGACAGACAGACAGACAGATAAAAAATATATATACTGCTTTGATTTTATTAAAGATACTAAACAAATTATAAAGTAAGTGGTCAATATGCACTCTGCATATTCTGTGTGATGTTGTTCTCAATCTTTGTGTGCTGTAAATATAACTTATTCACCATGTGAACTCTCACCCTCTTCACCACTATCATTGACCACTTTACCCAACACAACCTAAACCCTTCTAATCAATAAAACACTATATATATATATATATATATATATATATATATATATATATATATATATATATATATATATATATATATATATATATATATATATACTAGTAACCACACACAAACACACATATGTATGATAGATAGACAGGTATAGATAGACAGATGATAGATAGATAGATAAATAGATAGATAAATAGATAGATAGATAGATAGATAGATAGATGATAGATAGATAGATAGATGATAGATAGATAGATAGATAGATAGATAGATAGATAGATAGATAGATAGATAGATAGATAGATAGATAGATAGATAGATAGATAGATAGATCTCTTCGACAAACATAAGTAGTTAGAAACGCACATGCATGTTAAGATTATTGTTCTTTAAATCAGTCAGGGTGTTGTTTCAGACATGTAATAAAAAATGTAGCTATTTCTAAGGACCAATCCGTGAAAGGCCGCCAAGTGCACAATATATACTCTGGAGGCAAAAATGGCTGTACTTCTTACAGTAATCGCCTTTGTGCTTCCTCTGTTCTTAGTCATTTCACAGAAACGCAATCATCTCCCATGCATCCAAAAGGCACTGCCATTATAAATGCTAGTTACACTAGATCCATAAGATTAAAGGGATAGCTCATCCAAAAATAAATAAATAAATAAATTCCTGACCATTTACAGGTTCTACATTCTTTTGTGCATTTCTTTCTTCTGTCGTAAAAAGAAACCATTGACATCCAAATTTGGAACTAAAAAATATGGATGTTTTTCCCCTCAACATCCTTCAGTATCCTTCTCGTATTCAACAGAAGAAATAATCTCACACTGGTTTGGAACAAATGGAGAATGAATAGATGGACAGGATAGACATTTTCTGTGTGAACTATCCCTTTAAATCAAAATTAGAATGAGCGGCAATATCTCTCCTATGTTTGTTAGCTTCAGCGTTTGTAGAGAGCTGTTAGTTTTCCACCTCTCCTCTCTCTTGACTGTACTTACAGGTATCTTCTGAGCCTTGATCATTAAATCAAACTCTTCGTTAATCTGTTTGTATTTCTCCTCTGTGAGTGGAGTGAGAGCGAGAGCAGACTCCAGCTCCAGGCTCTCGCCACCTTTGTTCTCCTTCTTGCTCAACGCCTGAAGGCCCGTATGAGCGGGGCGAACAGTGAGCCAGACAGAGAAAAGAGAAAAGAGAAAAGATGTGTGAGAGGCTTGACTGAGATGCAGGTACTTACACATATCCTCTGTCTGCTGATCATGTGCAGATCAATGTCGTCGTTGATTTCGCGGTACTTGTCCTTTGACTCTGGGCTGTGGCCCACCGAGTCGTCGGCGTCGGGGTCCGGGCTGTCACAGCCATTTAGACCCTTCTTTCTCAGGGTCTGGAAATACAAGTTTATACACTGTTCAGATACCAACTACTTTGCCATTTGTGCAGAGCCCATTCCAGTATTTGGCTATACATATATATATACACACAAACATACACACACACACACACACACACACACACACATATATATATATATATATATATATATATATATATATATATATATATATATATATATATATATATATATATATATATATATATATATATATATATATGTCTCAGGAGTTTACGTAATATTTTTTTTTTTTTTTGCAGTTTTGGTTTTTTTACAAATCCACCAAATGCCGCTGTGTATGCTTTTTAAGATCTCAAATTTTTTCTTATGAGTGCCATTCGCGCCTGCTGTTCTTGCGTAAACCCACTGCTGCCGCTGCTGCTGCCGCTGCCTCTGATTCATTTACTAACTGACTAACCGACCCACCCCCTTCCCTAAACCCAACCAATAGTGTTTTTAAAAGTACCGACTGACCCGCCCACCCCTTCTCTAAATGTGAAATGTTTTGAAGAGCAATTCAAAAAAAAAGTCCTAGCCTGATTTTTACCATGTTTTCAGATTTTACCACATTCTCACCCTGTTATTTAGCTACAAGCGTACAAGCAGGTAACAACGGAAAAGTCGTCCATACAGAGGTAATCGGTCAGCTGGTAAGCACGAAAAAACGACGTCATACCATTCATAGCATAGCGTTCAATTTAAATATGCAATGCAGCCATGTGTAGCTCTGGCTACATAATTGAAGATCTCCAGAAATGTGCATAGCGTGTTTGGAATGAGCCTGTGTTGATTAAATTGATCAAAAGCAACAGTAAAATTAAAGTGAAGTAAAACTAACAAACAAACAAACAAATAATTAAACTAATACTTGAAGAGAAAAATAAACGATTTCCACAAAAACACATTAAGCATCTTAACCGATTGTGAAATTGATAAAAAAAAGTTTTTGAGTAACTTTGAAATCACATAAGACTTACACAAGACACATACCAAAACCTTTACATTTGAATACAGTATATATGTTAATTAATTATAACTACACATTATTTGCAATAGTTGTCTGTCCTATTTTTGTAATTCTTTATTTCCCATTAACTATACCTCCCGTCTCAACTAGACTATAGTCTATTAACTATACCTTATATGGTCTATTAAAAACCATGAAATAACATACAGTAAATGACAAACTTCCTCAAATGTAAATTTCTGTAATTTATCATCTGTTATTTTATGGTAAATGTCTGTAATTTAATGACCGCTACAGTGTAGTCTATAGTATATTAACTATACCTCCAGTATCTTTAGGTCGATAATCACACTATAAAAAAAAATCGCTATTTTACTTTTTTTTTCCGGCAGGCTGCCAACAAATAAGGGAAAATAATAGCCGTTAAATTACAGACATTTTCTTAAATTTAAGTTTCCGGAAAGTTTCTGTAATTTATGGTCTGTTATTTTACGGTAAATGTCTGTAATGGCCACCCCAGCTTAGTCTATAGTCTATTAACTATAACTCCAGTCCCATTAAGTCTTTACCTAGTCTATAGTTTATTAACTTCCTTCAGACTCATTAAGTGTCATTAAGTTATAATAATTTATTATTGTGTGTGTTATTTATTATATTTATTATATTTTGTGTTATCATTTGAGGTTATATGGAAAAAAAAAACTATAAAGTTAAACTAATATGAAGATATTGATGTTGTAACCAGGTAATCAAACCCCAGTTTAAAAATCTGTAGTGCAGAAATATAAAGAAATCTTAATAATTAAAAAAATGAAGCCAATACTATATTTTCTTGAATATTTTTGTGTCTTGTTTGCGTTTGAGCTGTTTGCTTAAGACCATGTTATTCATATTTATGTAGTATAAAATAATCATAAATATCCCTTGTAAATAAACTTAAAGCAAGTTGTTAAGTGACAACAAAGATATGCATACAGGAAAGGCCAACCTAAAATGTAAACATTAATATTTAACCAAGTCTGGGTTCAAAAAGAGACACGTTTCTATACAGTGTGTGATTTCATCAGACAAGGTCAGATCTACTGCCACTGACCACAGCAGAGTCACGCTCTTTAAAATAGATTAACAGAAAGACAACAAAGCTAACCAAAGAAACCATAACGGAAAAAAAATGTTATACAGCTTAAAATGTGTGTAAGCAAACAAGTAAACGCAGCAGTCAAAGAAAGAACTGAGCTCCTCCTGATGGATTAAAGCAGCAGTTTCTCTCTCTGCCACCTGATGGCCACCTTTTAGTAGGAATGAGATCTTTCTCTCACAGTAAAGTCAATGTACAGTATGAGAAAGTGTCCGTACAATGGTAAATGCTTGTTTTGCATATGAACAGTTATAAAAGCTATATAAAGCAAACAATAATTAAAGATTCTGCCATCTTAAAGAGATAGTTCAGCTAAATGGAAAAACCTGTCATTATTTACTCAATATCCCTTTATTCTAAACCTGTTTGACATTCTTTTATCTTTTAAAAGCATTTTAAGAACAATGAAAAGCTGTAGCCATTAACTTTCATTGTATTTTGTTCCCTACCAGAAGAAAATATTTTCTACATTCTTAAAAATATCTTCTTTTGTGCAATAGTATAAAAATAAACTCAAATAAGTAAAAAAAAAAAACACCTGACTGTGAGTAAATGGTTAGCAAATTTCCATTTTCATTTCCAACCTCTATAGGTGATGAAAAATAGCGCAAATTCAGCGAGAAACGTGACTGTTTTCTGGTTAAAAAAGAAGAAAAGATGGAATAAAAGCGTGAGGCTCGCTGCCATACGATGCACCAGAGCCGCAGAAAGTCTTCAAGTGTCTGCTATGATTATGGAGGATCAGACGTCTCATCAAAGCGAAGCGCGTTCCACTATATCAACTGGCTTTAAGTGCGGCGCAGCGGATATTAGCCACCAGCTAACATATGTGACGCTCTCGCGCTCACACACAGTCCTTCTCTGCCTTCATCTGCCTGTCTGCATCAATCACGCAATAATTAATTTACTCTGTTGACGTGAGTGCTTGATGAAGACGCGCTTCTCATCCTCTTTTCTTTGCTATGACACGCTTCTGTTAGGTGTTGAGGGATTGTGAGGAGAGCGAGAGCTTTTTTCTTTAATACATATTGGAACGCTTTGAAGATGAGTGGAGGCATGGTTGTTTTCATGCAATTGAAATAGAAAATGATGGAAATTTTGGACAAATAGTGTCACTGAGTAGACAAACTAAAGAAATAAACATATATACAGTGCTCAGCATAAATGAGTACACCCCTCACAGATCTCTCTTTTAAATGTATCTTTTCTATAGGATGGCATACAATAATATATTTGTGCATATATATTTAACTACACAGTACCAAAACTAGAATTAGTTTAACAATATGTTTAGATATCACAGCCCAAAAAATCAACACACCCTTAGTATGTTTGGGAAATATATGAAATAAAATTTTAATATAATAAAATATCTAATTTAATCTAATAAAAATAAAGGAAAATAGAAATAAGAGGAGTCAAAATAAAAAAGAAATAAAAAAACATATAAATTGCATATTTTCATATAAGGGGTGACATGGTGTTTCAGGGGTTAGCACTGTTGCCTCACAGCAAGAAGGTCACTGGCTCGAGTCCCGTGTTGGTGTGTTCTTTCTTTCTTTCTTTCTTTCTTTCTTTCTTTCTTTCTTTCTTTCTTTCTTCTCTATCCATTCATCCATCCATCCATCCATCCATCCATCCATTATATATCTGTCCGTCCGTCCGTCCATCCGTCCGTCCATCTATCCATCTATCTATCTATCTATCTATCTATCTATCTATCTATCTATCTATCTATCTATCTATCTATCTATCTATCTATCTATCTATCTATCTATCTATCTATCTATCTATCTATCTATCTATCAATATTGTTTTAGTTTTGAAAAAGGCAAAAGTAAATTAAATTTATAATTAATAATAATAATAAATTAATTAAAGCAAATACATAGACTGATGCTGCTGATGTTCTGTGTCCAAAAGGGCAGTGATAATATGCCAGTAATTATGACAGCTGAGAAACAGCCCAGACTTCAAAATCACTTCATATTAAAAAAATCAAACAATTTTACAAACGGATATAAATCTTTCTTCTCAAAATGTATTTGATTTGTATTTTATTTTTAATCTATACAGTATTAATGTCATGCCCCCCCCCCAAGAGAAACACAAAATATTGTAGCATCCCCATACAAACCTCATTAAAAATGTTAATAAATAACCAATATTTAAAAACAAAATTATTTTAAAAAGTAGAATTATATCAGCAGTAATTATAGCAATACAATAACAAAAAAACCTCTCGTTTATTAAAAAGACAAACTAACCAACTTGATAAATACCTAAATTACTACGGCTCTAAATGTGCTGCCAATCAAACCGGGCACTTCAAAAGCCATGTTTTTTTATAACGAGCAGGGTTCTAACTAAATGATAGGTTCCACTCTGACTAGCAGAGCTCAGGTTATTTCTTTGCATCAGGGTGAGGGAAGATTGCCGCGTGGATCTGAGGCAGCATAGAGAGAGTGTGAATCGGCAGAGCAGAGTACAGTGTGCTGATGGGAGGCCATGCTGGCTGAGTGAGCGCTCAAGCAGAGACCGGCAGTTTAAGACCCAGCATGAAGCTGCTGTGAACCCCCTGAAGGTCCACCGCTATGCCACTCATTCCAGATATGTGCACCTGTCAGAGGGTCCACACCTGTCACCAGCCCTCACACACACACACATACTGCTGTAGGGGGGCAGAGGTAGCCAATCACAGCGTGTCTGCCGAAGATGGCCATAAAAGGCTAAACAAACTGCTGATTCCTCAGAGAAAAAACACGCTCAGATGTTGCTCTTGCATTGCTCAGGAGGCTTAGTGGAAGTCTTGATTATATTTCTTTGAAATATCATCCTTTCTCAGCTTCAAATGTATTAAAAATAGACATGAATTAAACAGTTGTT